TATTACTATACTCCCTTTAAAGAAAATGTTTGTGAAAATAAAGGTAATAAAAGAAATAAGAGACAAGAAAAAAAAAAAAACCAACCACTTTCTGCCGAGCAGCTCCAATGTGTGATGTTTCAGTTGCTGCTCTAGCCTCAGATCTGGGTGGTTTGATATTGTCTGTCAGAGTGTTAGCAAATGTATACAGGTTCTCAGAGGTGGTGGTCTTAGGGTGGAGACAGTTCTCAGGTGGGCTTTACTCATTCATCTATTTGACTTCTCAGCCTGAATCCTGTTACAGGTAGAAATCAGGAAGATTCATGTCTGCTAGAAATTATACAAAAAAAAAAAAATTGACTATGGTTTACCTCCTGCAAACATAGACCCTGGATCTTAGTACTTTAGTGACTCAGAAAAAAGACAAATGAAAATCTCCTCTACGCATGTGTTATTGGGCAGTGGCGAGTTCTGAGAGGCCTGAAGCAGAAGGAGGCCGAGGCAGGAACATGCTGCGCTTGCCCACAGGACAGTCCTGATCCCAGGGTTTTACTGTTTGGTCCATAATTTTGGCAGGTGTTTAGATCTCAATTGATGGTTATACACTAAAACATCTGAACTTCATAACTTTCATTTCTTTGAAAGAGAAACACTTTATGCAGAAACTTTGGTAGATATACATTTATTCTCAAGTAGCACATAAGGTTCTGAGAATTAGTGATGTCTTCCTCTGTAATTACCATTCATGATAGAGCTATGGTAGGGTCACATGCCAGGTGTCACGGTGGCCCATGCCTCAGGAGGCTGAGGCAGGAGGATGGTTGTGAGTTTGAGACCAGCTTGGGCTACAAAGTGAGCTCAAGGCAGCCTGAGCTGCATAATGAGACCCTGTCTCAAAAAGACAAAAACAAAACAAAACAAAACAAAAAACAAAGACAAGTCACTAGCCTTGGTTGCAGCTCAAGTGTTAGCCCCAAAGGTGGGCAAGGCCGGAGGCTGGAGGATCACTGCAAGCTTGAGACCAGCATGGGCTGCACAGTGTGTTTCAAGTCAAGCCTGAACCACATCACAAGATCCTGTCTCAAAAAACCAAAAACAGAGTTTGTGTCTCTCAGATCAGCCTCAGACTCTAAAGGATTAACAACACTGGCAATAAGTAAAACATCTTACTGGAAGTCTTACATAAAAACCATAACGTAACTGGTAACTTGCTTTCTAATTTCACAAACCACAAGAAAAACTTAAAGCATCCCTCACTGATAACAGAGAACAAAATAACCTATTCTTCTAAGTGTGAGTCAGTACCACTCAGGCAAAACTGGACCTGGCTGTCATTTGTCCAAATGGTTTTGACACACTTTTGGAGTTCAGTCCAGGGCCTTGTCTTTGCTTCCATGTGGTCAGAAGTCCATAAACTGTTTATTCTAGAACACTACAGCTAGCTAACTGCTCCAGTAAGCCAGGCTTCAAGTATTTGTCAAAAGCAGTTTATTTCACAAACATCAGAGGGCAGCATTTGACAGGAATTCCGAAAGGAGACCAGCGCAACCAAGCAGCCTGCCTGGTCCATGGGGCTAAACTCTGTTCTCCCCCACCTCCCCTCCCCTCCCCTCCCCTCCCCT